GATTCTAGGGACCAGGCCGAAGAAATCGCAAAAGACCGACAACAGTGGAAAGAATTCGTCGCCCGATGTGCTCAACAGCACGGGAGGAACTAAGTCTAAGTAAGTAAGTAAAATGGGCGAAAGCGTTCAGTTATTACATCCACGAGATTAAGTGGCTGGTTTGATAACAAAAAGGCACTCATTAGCGGAATCGCCTCACGCGTAGGAAAGGCACAATGCCCCCACTTACACTAAAGGCAGCCTGTACACCCACCTTTAAGGACCATCCTTGTCATGTGCGAGGAGAATGGATTGGCAGCTGCAGTAGCGTACCACTTTCTCCGCTCAAAAAAGACTGAGAACAGGGTTGTAGGGTAGTGATACCCGAGTGCCGTCTCCACACTCTTCCCACGCTATTCTCAAGGTGGCGTTTGCGTCGATGCCAAGGTCCTGCAGCGAAGCACGCACTCAATGGTGGAGAGCAGCCGGAAGTGAAAAGTCGTAGGCAAAGCGCGTTTGGCTGTGGTCAGACAGTTAGGCGTGTGGTTGGTCGTGCTGCAGCGCGAGCGGAGCATGGAGACGGCACTCGGGTGTCACAACATTCCAGCCAGTTCCCGTGCGCTTTCGCCCAGGAAAGTGCCACCCTACTGCGACTGCGGACCCATTCTCCCCGCGCACGGCAAGGACCAGGAACCATAGAGGTGAATGTACAACTTCTTCTTAAGAATCATAGAGGTTTCGAATATGGAAAGGCATAGGAAATAACTACGTGTGGCCAGGTGATGTACAAATCAGTGTTTTTTTGTCCTTCAAGACGAACTTCATAGTGGTTTGGCCTGGAGGGACGGTAGTCCACGAAGGACCAGAGCTGGGCTCCCTCTCAAAACTACGCTTGGTAAACTGTTTACTAGACCGGCTCTGCTTCCACCGAATGATTAAAGACAGCGCCCGCGATGGACTTTGGCAGGTCTCAGGGGTCAAAAATAGAGAAATCCCGATTTAGACGATGATTCCACAAGTGAGGGCCATGGTTGTGATTGAATCCGTCAATTTTCCTCGTGGATGTGCTTTGACTGAAACAGTTTTAGCCCACAGTGGGTGGTAATAGTTGAAGAATCTCTTTTTAGATGCGTTGCACTTTACACTTCCTTGTGGAAGTCTGCCGATTTGGCCTATAATATGACGTGCGTGGATGGCAAAGGTGCGAGGCAGTGTTTTTTTTCCTCCCACGCAGTACCAGTCAAACGCGGAAGGACGGAAGGCGCGGACAGAAGCCGATCTAGCATGACCATAGAATCCAAGGGAAGCAAATATATTGAAAAAAAACACTTCCGAAAGCAAACGAATAGCCTCGCCGCTCAATCAGACGTCAGAACCACCACAGAATTGTGCGCATGGAAAGCTGCGCTTTTGGGCACTACAGCATTATTCGCACAATAGGTTACAAACCATTGGATTGGGCAAAAGTTTTTGTTGCGATAACAACTTGTCTGTCTCTATAAGACAGAGACTTGTACTTTAGCGATTTTGTCTCTCGACGAGCTTGTAGTAGATCCCCTTCCTGGCCAGTAATGCTTGATGTGTTCCATGTTCGGCCACTCTTCCATCACGACACACAACAATAAGATCGGCATTCTGGAAAAAAAACAAAATTCCGCAAAAATTTATCTCGGCTACGGATGAGCTGCTTGTGAAGAAAAAAGTGAGGTAATTCTACAGTGGTATACCTGTATGGTAGATAACCGATGAGCTATAACTAAGCAAGTTCTTCCTTGTCGTGCTCGATCCAAGGCTTCTTGCACCACCTGAATGTTAAAGTGTTGTACGAGTGAGGCAGTTCCCTCCATGTGGGTTTCAGTTCCATGGAACGGAAACCGCGCCTCAAAGGCAAGCTGTACTCCGTGGATCCTGATTCCTGCATATGTGGTTGAATGGGTCTGCAGTTGCAACAGCATGTCCTTTTCTCCACTCAAGGATGCCGGAAACTGGGCTAGGGGCTCTACACTCCGCCTGCGCTATCATCAAGACGCAGCTTTTGCGCAGATACCAAGATCCCGCGGCGAGACACATACTCAGCGGTAGTGAACAATCAGAAGTGAGACGTCGTAGTTGGCCCGTTTGCCTACGACTGGGCGTGTGGCTGGCCGCGCGGCGGCGATGGACGGAGTATGGACCGGCACCGAATAACATACCTTCTAGCCTCGTAGAAGGTGGCACGATACTGCAGCTGCTGGCCTATCCAGTTCACACATGGTAAGGACCATTGAGGTGAGTGTATATATTCTTCACAATCAGTAACTCAAGCAAATGTACCTTTTCGCTCTCTGTGTCTAGGGCACTAGTAGCCTCGTCGAGCAGCAGTATCTTCGGATCTCTGACGATAGCACGAGCAATGGCAATACGCTGCTTTTGTCCACCTGACAGCAGTCCACCTTTTGCTCCGACCACCGTACTGTAGCTCTAGAATAGTCACTATTGAATATTCTCAAATATGCCTTGGTCAGGACTTTCACAATGTCCTTTTTGCTGATGCTGATATCAGAAAATTTTTCCGTTATACTTTGAAGCTCAAGATACAGTTCACAGCACGAGGCCAGAAGAGTGTACACGGGCTCAGTTGTGGACGTGGCGTCTCTGACCGTAAGGGTAAACGGTGCAGGCAGAGAACAATCACTGCCCTAAGTAGTCTTGTTCGCTAGACCGCGTCGTAGGGCTGAGTGTTGAGCAAGGCCAGCCCGTTTTTCATCAATCGTTGCCGCGTGCATGATTCAGCGATTGGTGGAGAATGGCTGGCGCCGCGCCGAACCCAGCCCCCCTGGCACGCCAGCATTCGCGACGAACAAGACTGTGTTTTGTGCCCATTTTTCTCTTTCAAGCACGCCATATTTCCTGCCCGAACATGCAAGTGCCCGCTGCCACCACGCCTCCAACTGGTTTCGTGCCATCCCGTCTCCAGGCCCCGTGATATGGACTATGTAAGAATGCTTTCGAGAGAGTAGGTGGATATATAGTAGATATGGAACAAACCTCGGGAAGGCTAACGATGAAATCGTGGATATTGGCCAGACGTGCTGCATATTCCATTTCTTCTTGGGAACACTTGTCCAGACCGTACATGATGTTCTCACTAAAAATCTCATTACATGACCCCATTTCTGTTCATGAAAATAGAAAAACACCCTTCGTTGGTTTTTTAGTCGTCCATGATCCATAGTTTTCAGCCTCTGAGAGGATGTATAGTCGTTTCCGCTGCAGACGCTGAAGCGTGTCAGGGGGTGGGCTTGACGCGACGCCAGACCATTCTCCACCAAACGCTAAGGCGGAGCAACAAATGGTGTAAAACGGGATGGCCTGGGCCCGTCAAACTTACCCTCCCTCTGAACATGTCCCAGCGCCCAGCGTCTACAGCAGAAACGGCCAGCTCCCTCTTCACCTCTCCACGTCAGACAGAGAACTTCTACAGAAACTCTTATAGAGTTCGATGAGGACAATGGTACTGGGCTTTTGACACGCAATCCACGCTAGATGCAGACCCCTATTCCGCAGATCAGAAAGCATAAAGAAAAAGCGCGGTCTAGACTGAGTAGATTTTCTCCTGCTCTCCGACAGTACAGTGTGCAAATGTGTTGCAGGACAATGGAATGTCAGCATAAGGCAGCGCTCAGACTTCGTGACGGCGGCGCTCCGGTCGCACGTTCGAGCAATCGACGCAGTCGTACGCTAGCGCGATCGATCGCTCGAACGCGTGACCGAAGCGCCGCCATCGCGAAGTCTGAACGCTGCCTAATATGTCCCGGAATGCCCCAAGCAAACAGTCCAATGATGGTTTTTTTTTCTCAAGGATCTCGACCTGCTTTGTTTCGTGGAGTCAATGGTTCTGTGTTCTACTCACTTCTGGAGTCAGTTCGTTTCTGGATAATATGCCAACAAGCCAAAACATGGATTTGAAATAGTTATCGTACCGTATTGTCACGTTGAAGAGCGTCGGTTCCTGTCCAACTAGCGCCATGTTGTCTCCTGACGTAACGGATGGAAAGGTCACGTATATCGTATGTGTCGATGCTCTGATGAGAAGTCGAATGAAAAAAATCAAGGAGGCTTAGGATTGGCGCTCTTGCTTTGCAAAAGCAACGGCAGTAAAGAATATTATTGTACTCGGTGACCATCCCATGGGTGGGGTCAGACCTGCCATTATGCCCTCTTCACGACGACGCCTCTTCTCTTGCGAAAGAAGAAACTATTAAGTAGGGTTCAATGGCACGCTTGAGCTCACCTTCACAATCAGGGTGTATGACCCTCTGAGCACATAAAAATGCAATGAAGTACTGCTCGACAGAACTCACCACGGTGCCACACAATGCATCGTAATAATCTCTCCACGAGTTGTATCACAGTACTCTTTCCCGCAACCACTGGCTTCCTACAAGTGCCACAGTCTGTCCGTGACGGACACTCATGTTCAATCCTTGGAGGATGAGCTGTCGTCGTCCGCACAGGATACGCGAAATATACATTCCTCAGTGATATATCGCCTTTGAGTGCCTAGGTAGTGGAAAATGACTTACGAAAAATCTTTATTTTAAAAACTGCACTACTCCAAGGCAGAGGCCACATCACTCATAATTATTTACGTTCTCCATAGGGAGGGGTAATGTGAACTGCAACGAACAGCCCTTTATAGGTTTCATGTCAGAAAGTGGTAATAGCGGTGCCAAGACACAAGATTGCTCAAGTAGCTCCGCCTACGTTGACAGATGTCTTGCTTATCTGCTGTTTTGCTCGTTTGCATACTCTTTCATTGCTTTGTCTAGCCTCTCGCCTGATATCCACATCTTTTTTTGTCTCTCGCATGACACAAGCAGGGCCTAATTTGGAACGTTTTCGATGATTTCCTCTCCTTTATCCCCTCACGGGAAAGACAACTAGTACATATTTTTCCCGTTTATAATCGCGCTACCCACGAATTTTTCGCTGGCTCACCTCCAAGTCTACCTTTAACTATGTGCGGCATTTTCTCTGCTCACTTTTTCTCAAATTTGAATAAGGCACAACATTTAGCATACCAAAGCCATTGCACTGACCGGTTTTTCTCCTTGATGGCTCATATTGTCGATTTTTGGGCGTTGTCGCATCATTGTAAACATAACACCGGCCGAGATTCGGGCACGAATATACTCGGGGAAATATGAGGCAGCCATCATCACACTCATTGACGCCATGTTCAATGCTTCTATCACTCTTAAAAATATTAGTTACAAGGAATCAATTCTGAAGGTAGGGCATAGGTGTGTACACTGGTGACCTGGTGCCGTATCTCTCCAAAAACTCAGAAACTTACTGGAAAACAGTAAACGGTCTACTCCATCCATTTCGTATAAGCCATAGACCAAAAGCGTAGGCAATTGCGAAGTTCACCACAACAAAACTGTTTGACAGCGCTAATGATAGCGCCTGCCATAAGCCTAAACATTTGCATGAGTACTCATTGCATACGCCACTATACAGTCTTGTTCTGCAGATGCTGAGGTGTGTCAGGGGAGGAACTGGGTTTGGCGCAGCGCTAGCCCGTTTTCCACCAGGTGTTATAGCTTGCCACCTCCAACAGTTGGTGAGGGACAGGTCGACATCGCGCTGGACCCAGCTCCTCTCTGAAGCACTTCAGCATCCGCAGGGAAAACGTCAGCACACTGCGTTCCATAAAAATGTATTGTTAGGGGATAACCTTGCCCAACTTAAGATCGACAATCATGCGATCCAGATCAACTTAGTTAGCATGTAGAAACCGTTTGTCTGCTGACAGCTGTTCACTTTTGAGAGTCCCCTCTCTCTGCCCTTCTCATAATCGACCAGCATTTTCTGCTCCTCTCGGCCTAGTGTCCTATTCAAGTCAGAGCAGTTTTTACGTGGGATCACGGGTTCGTCTCTGCAGGCTTGTTGTTTAGTACGGTCTTGTCCGTCGCGGACGCTGGGGAGTTTAAGGGGAGCTGGGTCATGCCATCATTAGATAGGGAATTCCAAGTCTCGCATAAAAGAAGCAGGTTTAGAGAAAACAAAGCTAAAGAAACAAAAAAGCACTCCTCAAAGCACCAGGAGACGCCCAATGACCTAAAATGACACCCATTACAATCTATTGACCTGCATACGATGGAAAACACGCTTATTGACGAGTTTCCACGTATTTGCTCCTGCCAAAATAGGTGTGGTTCGTACGTGCATACGATGGGGAAACAAGCGCTATACGACGTCCACTTGAAACCTGACGCTTTAATATATCTTATTTTTCAGTGATTCATCGTTTCAATTGTTTTTTCTTCTTTGAGCTTGTGTGTCTTTCAATCGAAATAATGCTAATTTTCTTCCAACTTTTCGCTCACTTTGCCAATACCAATAACTTTTCAGTACACTCCAGTTTAAACACTACGCCGACGCGTTCACCCTGACATGCAATACAAACCCTACGTCTGGGGTTTGTAGGGCGCGGCGTCGGTGTACAAATCAACGAAGCCGCTTTTACAGAATTTCATGCTTTCTCGATCCCATGCAAATTAGATTTTCACCGGAAGGCGCGTCACAGCTGGAGGCGAGATCACTTGGAGAAAAGGAGAACACTGCAAAAACCACTTTAGCCCTTATACGCGCCCCTCCCTCGCACTTTTCGCCGCGATAAACGGACAGGCTTTCGTCGCGCGACCGCACTATCCCCGATCCATATTTCACTCTCGATAGGCATTGATCGCGACCGTTTCCCATTAAGTGACTGGGTTTGCAGCGCACCTGTCTCCGTAAAGTGTGGCCAGCTTCCAGTTTCCTACAGCTGGGTAAAACAGTAGCGGCAGCGTGTGTGCAAAATCGTAAATTCCGCCGCTCATTGCGTCGCCGCCCGCTAACAGAACGACGAATTTAGAATGATACTCGGTCAAGAATTAACAAAATGGTATGAACCGTGAAAATAGACCATAAAATTTATTGCATGTCCTTCTCTAACGTGAAATTAAGGCTTGAACGCAAAAGGTCAGCGCAAATCGAAGAAATTCGCGCCGTTGTTGTAATAAGTCATCTTCGCCCGCTCCCGCCGCGCTACCTTGAAAAGCACCGTGCGGCGAGACAGTATATACCACCGTGTTTTTGGTTGTGCAATGTTGCTTTGTTGAAACATCTGGGATATAGTGCTCTTTAACTGGTTCGTGCCCCTTTTCGCGGTTTGTGTCTTCGGACAATAGCTTGTCTCAGCAGCGCGCTTCATAACCTTCACATAGGCGCGTGACATTTATTTGAAATTTCGCAATATCCCTCGCCTCATCCCAACGCTTTTGTGCCTCCTTATATTCATATTTGCTCACTTCGATAAAGCTGCTTCACCTTTTGATTAGATACACAGACCTTCATTATTGTAATTTGAATTAACAATAGCAAGACTAAAGACGAATTTTGCCGCACACTTCGGGTTTGATACTGAAGACCAAGCCTCGCTTGCTCAAGTTATACACTATTCATTCCATTCATTTGCAAGTAAGTACAACCATCTCAAACTAAAAGAAAAAGGCTCCATAAACTCGTCACGCAGAACTCACCACCACACATCGAAGCGAGGAGATAGCTACAAGACTCCTCAAAAGTTACTAGTTCCGCTACGCCCAGACGACCGAGCCAAAGCTCATCACTTGACTAGATGACCTCTGACCGGAAGACCGTTCAGAATCTTGTATGTTTTTTGGGCAGGCAGCGCATCAGGCATTCGTCCTTTTCCGACCATTCAAGAAATAATTCTAGCATTCCTTTCATTACATTTTATACTCATTAACTACATATATAGTCAACACATAACCATACTCGCGAGCGTAAAAAACCTTAAAATTCCACATCAATCGCGACCACAATTTTCAGTGTGCAAAAGCTCGCACCACACTAAATACACACTAACAAACATGCAACCTCCAGTAACCCATTAATTATCAGAACGCTAGAGACCGACGTTTTTGAAAAAAGTTTATTTCCTTTTCAGGAGTTTTTCTTCCGTTTTCTTGTTAGTTTTCCGTATCTTTTTTTGGCATATTATATCATATCCATTAATTGGGAATAGATAAGGGATTTTGTGATCCAGGAGTGCCACAATAATCGCCAGTGCACAATGACCGCAGGGCTGTGTGACTGACAGGGAGCGATCTTGTTTATGGTGTTCTTGAGAACTCTTCTTGCTTTTTCTCTTCTTTGGAGAATTACTTATCAGCTACTGTTTCGTAATTGAAAAGCAACTATCCATGACACTTTTATCGCGGGAGCTGTCTTTAATTAGAGAACATCTTATCGAGCGAACTCCCACCAAAACTGGTCAAGTTCCTTCAAAACCAAGCAACTATTACACCGGTAATTTCTTGGTAATTCACGTTTTATAGCAAATGATTTTTATTTTAAGGGCAACTACATCCCGCTGATCTGTGACACATAGTTTCTCTCAAACCGAGAAGCCTTGTTTCACCCGTTTGTAGCGTTTATTCATTTCCTTGGAATGGTCAAAGAACAGGAGCAAAACCATGAAAGGCAGCTTCACTCAGCTGCAAATGAGGATGCTGAGATGGGCCTTGGATCGACAGAGTCAGAAACGAGGACGTCAGGGCGGTCACACAGACGGCTCCGATCCAGCTGAAGGCACGAGAGCAGCGACTGCGATGGTATGGGCACGTACTGAGGAGGCCTGAAGACCACCCAATGGCGCATTGGAATTCGAAGTAGAGGGCAAGCGATCACGAAGAAGAGAAAAGAAAAGATGGAAGGACGTCATCAAGGTAATGCCATGATTAAGTGGAGATGTCCGAACAAGAAACAGCGGAACCCTGCGAAACGGCGCGGAAGAAGAAGAAGAAGAAGAAGAAGAAGAAGAAGAAGAAGAAGAAGAAGAAGAAGAAGAAGAAGAAGAAGAAGAAGAAGAAGAAGAAGAAGAAGAAGAAGAAGAAGAAGAAGAAGAAGAAGAAGAAGAAGAAGAAGAAGAAGAAGAAGAAGAAGAAGAAGAAGAAGAAGAAGAAGAAGAAGAAGAAGAAGAAGAAGAAGAAGAAGAAGAAGAAGAAGAAGAAGAAGAAGAAGAAGAAGAAGAAGAAGAAGAAGAAGAAGAAGAAGAAGAAGAAGAAGAAGAAGAAGAAGAAGAAGAAGAAGAAGAAGAAGAAGAAGAAGAAGAAGAAGAGAAGAAGAAGAAGAAGAAAGAAGAAGAAGAAGAAGAAGAAGAAGAAGAAGAAGAAGAAGAAGAAGAAGAAGAAGAAGAAGAAGAAGAAGAAGAAGAAGAAGAAGAAGAAGAAGAACTCATCAGAGAGGACTTTCTCTTGAACACTGACTGAGAAATAATCAAAATAAAAATGCAAATGGCGCCTTGACAAGAATGATTTATGAGGCGAAGTGTGCAATTCAATGCATCTGTAATTCTGTATGGAGGAGGACTACATAAGTGCTGCTCCTCACAAATGCGTTGTACAGCCCAGGCGCATTATCTTTTTCCCATTGTTTAGCCATCGTCTAAACTTACCTCTTACAATAGCTCTTCTATGCGGTTCCTGTGCTGCAGCACAGTATGCTTCGTACATGTAGCCCTCCTTACACAGTGCTTGAATCGTTCGTGTGTTCGAAATTGATTCGGTCACTATCTGAAGAAATCAGGTAAACTAATTGGCAGCTATGTGGGTTTGTATCAAGTAAATCGCTCTGCTTTCCAGTGAGAGTAATACTATGGTTCGTATCAAGTAAGCAGCATACCTGACTGGCTTCTATGGCTGACTCCATGTCTTTCTGTCCTCTGAACTTCAGATATTGAGCAACAGATGACTGGGCAACAACTAAAAACAGTTTCAAGTCTACTGCAAACATAGCACTATTTATTCTTCACTCGCGGGACAGGGAATTCTACTCCAACTGGGAGGGACGCTACTCTGACCTTTCCCCTCCTCAGGAAGCATTACAGTGGAGAAGATGGGACTTACAAACGTCATGGTGGATTACAGGCTGCGTTTTGAAGCGTGCCAGGTTAATATTGGCTCGCTCACCACTTTTGCCTTCTTGCCGTTATAAAAGGATGAAATCTCCCTAAGGATGAAATTTTTGCCCTTGATTTGATCAATCTTTTTGAAAATGCGGCATTCATTCTACTTCTATTCAGAATAGTAGTGGTTTATCGAATGCGATGTCGCCTATGAGCCTTGTTCGCTGCGGATGGTGGGGCGTGTCAGAAGGCGGGGGGGGGGTGAGGGCAGGTTTACCGATGCTTCGGTGTTTTTCTTTCAGCAAGCGACGAGGCTGTACCTTATCGTTCCTATCTGGTGTTTTCCACCAATTATTGTCGCTTAACCGCTTGAACAGCTGGTGGAGAACGGGCTGACGGAGAGCCATAGCCAGCATCTGGTGGGAGAACGGGCTGACGGCGAGCCATAGCCAGCATCGCTGGCACACCAATTCATCCGTAGCGAGCACAACTGTACAACGACTTGCTTGAGCTGCCGGATGTTTCAGTCAGTGCTTCGTAGAAGGCTTGGTTGGCCCTGGGGAGAGCCTACCAAAGATTTGATCCCGGACCGTGCGCCTTACGATTACGAGGGATGGAATTGTGTTACACGCCAATTTATTTCGTGGTTACTTTTAACCCCAGCGCGAAGAGCCTCAAAACTCGCTTCTTGATTATCCAACTTTACTCTTGTCGTTTCCTCAGTGAGCACATACCTAACAATAGAGCGGTGGCCAGACCAATTGGAGCGACATTCCAGCCGTAGGCAAATGCAACGACGATACCAGCTACGAGAGCACAAACACCTTGCAACACTTCTGCGAGCCGTTGATCGATTGCCTGATTACAGCGATTCTTGACTATGATGAAGGACTGGTAGGTTTTCATAAGTTATTAATCACGTCAGCTCCAAAAAAGGCAATAATATCAAGTAAGACGTGAGTCACTTCCTCAATCAATTCATCGATTAGAAATAGTTCCCATCACACCGTTGGCTTCCTCAAAGATGCTGAAAACCTGACCACCCATGTTTCAAAAAATCGAAAATGTCATTTGGATGATGCCAGCTGATCATCATCTTTTCATCTTTTCCTCCATTGATTTGTTACTGTTGTTGTTACATCTGTAGTTGTTCGCTGTGGATGCCGGGGCTTGTCAGGGGGTTGGATTTGATGCCGGCCTCTTTTCTACCAGCTGTTGAGGAGGCCAAGCGACAACAACTGGTGGAAAACAGTCTGGCGCTGCGCCAAATCGATCCCCTTGACGTGCCTCAGCATCTGTAGCGAACATGCATATCTGCAGTCGTCATCCGGGCAGTTGATTAGGCGGTCAAAGGGTCGCAGACGCGGCTGCGGCGCGTCACGACCGCGGCGATCAGCTGTTTCCAGCCTATTTAGCCATTTTCTCCCTAATTTTCACTGTATTATTAATTTTTTTTCGAAGTAAGTTGTTTTTGTCTTTATGAAGTATATTAGAATGTGGATTCTTTTTTGCTTTTGTAATGAGATTTTTTCACGATTTTTTTAGTATTGGTTTAAGTTGTTCGTTAATGATTTAGTTGTTCGCTTGGGAAAATTATAGAAATCGTCGAATCATAACCTCTTAACTAGTGAAGACAACGAACAACTAACCGTAAGAAAAGAAGCCAAAAATAGAGAAAATTAGGGAGAAAACGGGTAAATAGGCTGGAAACAGCTGATCGCCGCGGTCGGGACGCGCCGCAGCCGCGCGTGTCGTGCGCACCTTTGGCCGCTAATCAAAACCTGCCGCGAATGACGACTGTAGACATGTTGTCTGATATGCTTGGCTGACAGTTTTTGATTATAAAAAGTAAATCACATGCAAAAATAATGTAAGTAACAGTAACACATGACTTATGGGCAGAATATCCTTACAGCTTGCACATTCGGGTGCGAGTCGTGCCAAACCTTGGCCAGTCAAGTGTTCCTGTGTTAGTGTTTTGGGGATCGTCAAGAAATACGAGGGGCAATCTGGAAGCATAATGTTCTGAAAATATGTTATCTTGTTGTTACCACCGCTTTTCAGGGATGGATTCCTGGAAATCAGTCGAATAGAGTATATGTGACATTGTAGAACCTCGCTCCGCTTTTTTTCCTCTCAAAAAACAATTTCCTCCCTGATCTGTTATGGGGTGGAAATCGGTCGGACGAGCTGACTTTCCTTTTAAGACACATAGTACGCCCGACACACATTGAGGAGTCTACTGTGACTATCAGCCCTAGCTGGTCCGAGACAGTTGCTGGCTTTGGTTCCCACACCCAAACATGCCCAGGAATGGAGTACAGGACCCGTGAAACACACTAGCTCCGCTAATGCTTTTTTGCGGCGTCGCGTGGCGCTCCTTGGCACGGTTCACAAGTCGCTTTATTTCGCGCGCTTGTCAAAATACAAGCAAAACGCAATTTCCTGATGCGAATAAAATTTTAGGTGTTGCTCATGCTTCAAAATCCATGTACAAGGAGATGAAGATGACACAGGCTAGAAATGAAGCACACGATGTAAATGTAAACAAAACAAAAATGAAAAAATCAAGGAAAGGCAAATTAGTTAAATCGCCTGTAAATTTCTACGATCCGGCGCGAATCCGGCGCCAAAGCCTTAGACAATACTTTAGAACAACTAGTGGGACGGTTTGTGTGGGTTGTTTATCTCATGTTTTGTGGGATGGGGAATGCGCGGCCTCTGATGGATACTGCAGATGCAGCCGAGTTGCTCTTGAGTTCTGGCCCTTGTCATCATCTTCTGTTCTTATTTTGTAGCACCTCCAATGTTATCCGCATCAGGAAATTGCGTTTTACTCGTATTTGAGAGCGCAATTAAAGGACTTGGCAAAGTGCCAAGGAGCCGCACGCGCGCCATTGAGCCGCTAACGCGAGATGTTATGAAGGACGGGAATCTGCGCCGCAAAAAGGTATAAGGCGGAGCATGGAGGAATTAGCGTGTTTCACGGTCCTGTATCTCCATTCCTGGGCATGTTTGGGCGGGGGGACCACGACACATCGACAGCTGGGGGCTGATAGTCTCATACACCCTCAATGTGTTTGAGCGTACCATGTGTCTTTAAGTGTTTGCCTTTTCGCTTATGGTGATGGGAGGTCAGCGCGATTCTCTTCGAATGCTTGGCATTGTTTCCTCAGTATAAGTCAGCAAACCGTCCGAGCTTGACACCTCGTCTTGGCATTGTCGCCTTTCTCAGAACCTGAGAAGTTGAAGGACATTTCAGAAGCGTCAGTCGAATTCAGTGTCGAATGTCGGTTGTCAAGCTATGCCAGTTCGCCATCGCTGTATGCAGAGGAAATAAAAGGTAAAGATTTTTAGTGCAGAGAAACGACTAGGTTGGTACAGTCTCATCATTGCGGACCGGTGGGGCGTGGCAGTGCGGCTGCTTTGGTGCGGTTTGGCAAAATCGTTCTGCACCAGTTTTTGAAGCGGGCAAGTGCATTACTGTATTATATCCTTCGTATCACTCGTACACTTTTTGTCGCATACGCGTTGCAACAAAAAGGCTGAGAACGGCTTCAACAGTGTGCACACTCCTTCTGGCTGGCACGCCCCACCGGTCCGCAATGATGAGGACTGTATGCTTCATGTGACTTCGCATTTGTATGCAGAATATAGCATCGTTGCGTGAAATACACGGGGGTCGCACTTCTTCCGCTGGGGAGGGGGGGGTCGAATTCGGCTTCTGGGAAAGAGGGTAGTCGTATTTCCGTTTTGAGCTTCTGAGAGAGGTTGCTCACTTTCATCATGGTCTTTCTTGTTTCCTGTGTGCTACATACCCACCCCCTCCAGCTCGACAGCAAAATTTTTTGGGAAAAGTAGGGAAATTTTCCGGAAAAAGTGGTAGGATGTTGGGCAATATCTTAAGAAATTCTGCCGTTCACCATTGGCTGTTTACCCCCACCCCCTCATTCTCTTGACGGAAAATCTTTGGGTGAAAAACTGAGAAATGTGGGAAAGGTAGGTAGGTGTTGGGAAAGGAGGGGGGGGTCGTACCGAGACCCTCTCCGAGGTGGGGGGGAGTCCTATTGAGACCACCATTTCAGACATCACGCTGCTGTTCCCTGTATGTATGTCACCAGCGCAAAATGTGCCTTCAGCAGAACATCATGAAGGCATTCGAGGTGTCCTATTTGGCATGAGTGATTTCTAGACTTTGATTGCGTGATCTGCTGAGATGGACTTTTATAAATGATATGAATGTTTGCATTTATCATTTTGAAAAAAAAATTAGAACTAGGTGAAGGTTCTCGAGGTAATCAAAAAACAACCAATGTCTATCTGAGCAGCTTGAATAGAGCAAGAATATCGCGCTTAAGTTTCGATACCACCCTGATCGTTGTTTCGCTCGTTTGAATATCCCACTCCCTCCTCAATGATAGTAATTGGCTGTAGAGCGCTTGACACCAGGGTTTTTGATGAGTTTTCTTATCAGAGACCTGATAAAAATCTTTTGCTGAGCTCTCACGTAATCGGCCTGCTTTCGTCGTATTTAAGCTACCTTTTCGATAATTGAGGTCGACCAAGGAAGCATCTCACCTTGAATACATCCATTCGTAACCGCATTGCCATCTTTTCCCCAGTGATACCGAACATAGATCCAGAAGCGAAGGTGCATATGCCGGAGCCGATGGCGAGCAGTAAAAAGAAGATCGAGTTGAGAACGTTACCCTCAGCAAGTGCTTCCGGATCCGGATTTGATAACAACTGAAAAGGATCTGTGTTCGCTTGCTTAGGCAGTTGGCACGATAAATCCCTAAGGCGAGTAGGATTAATACACCTGGCAGGACGGAATCCTGCGACTCTGAGCACTGCGTAGCGCCTTTTTCAAGGAAGTCCCTTATAAGCCCTATCAAGCTACAACATACCGACCCGACGCCCACCGCGCCCGCCCGCCCACAAATGGACGACCGTACCTGATGCTCGTATTGCTTCATTTGCTAAGTAAAATATGAAGCGAAGGGATTGGTATGAAGCGGCCGCGGTGCTGCATGGATATATGAGTACATACGTGCAGCCGTACCTACCGTAGCGGTCATTGGCAAGATGAATACAGGAAACTCGTCCGAAATCGCTTTCTGAGTCATTGAGAACAAAGGTTTTCTTCGCATTTTTTTCACCCTTTCACTTCGTTTTTCGCCATTGTCCTACTATATAGGGCACTGCTAATATTTTTGGCCGAGTACCGATTTATCGTGCCAACTGTCTTTAAGAATTCTGAGTCAGTAGAAATACAGGGTGAACAAAGGTCGAGCTCGAAATGCGATAGCTGCGCTTCCGAACACTTTCGC